AGCAAAATCAAAGAGATTAAAAAGAGAAGAATAAAGAAGTAAAGAGACAAAAATAGACATAAGAAATTAAAAAGGACAAATCAGTTTAAGAAGTAAAAAACAAGTTAAATTAGTAGAATTATACAGATGAAGTTTATAGAACTGTGTCAAATGATAATAATAGAATAGAATACAATGACGGTATGACCTTGTGGGCACAAGTGAATAAAGAAGTTGTGAATCTGGTTTTAAAAACATGGATTGGGCGTTCCTAAAACCATCAGGCAGTTGGTTCTAGTGCTGTATGCTGTGAGAGCAGTAACTGTCAGTGTAGTTACACACAAGGACTAATCACATGCAATTCAGATTAATAAATTAATTCAGAATTCGTTTGATTCATTATTTTTGTATTTCTCAACATGCACATTTGTGTGATTTAAGCTGATATCTCACTCAGCTGAATGAGAGAGAGTGAGAATTGCCTTGTGATCACTGAAGGCCGTGTAGTTATGGAGTCTGAGCATAAAGAGGCATGTGTCAGAGCGAAGTGGTGATGACAGCTGTGAAACAACAGTAACAACATTCAGGGTAAGGACCAGAGGACGCGTTGTCTCCTGACAGCAGTCTCATATAATATGTCGCCAAAGATTTGTCAAAGCAAGGTTCTTTAGTCTGACTCTACAGCTGACCGCTCTGTGTGTCCCTACTATGTGCTGCTGTAAGGAATAAATTAAAATAAGAGTTTGTTCTTCAAGGTAATGATAACGTGACAAAAGCCTGGATTAAAGGCTTTTATGTTGAAATGCTGTGTCATTATAAAAAAACTTGTTTATTCATTATTGCATTGACAGACTAGCATGGAGTCAGCACAATGAATTAAACAGAGCAGTAACTTTAGATCTGCATGCTTGACTGATGAGTGAAAGGGAAACTTGAGAGCAGCTGGTGGACATACTGTATTCAATAATGAAGGAGAGAATCTAAGATGGCACACACTCATTCACTTCAACTGAGACTGTAATGTAAAAAGTAATTCTATGGGTTTTGTTTCAAGTACATTGTAGAAGCATATTCTGGTGATCACACACACACACACACACACACACACACACATATATATATATCACATGTAGTGAGTGTGATATGTTGGGACCCCTTCAAAAACAAGATGGTAAATCTTGAGGGGTTTATTCTGATAAACATTTGATATTATGTGAAAATCAATTAGGTGATAGGTGGATAGATGGATGGATGGTCTGACAATTATTTTCTGACAATCTGACTATTTTCTGTTTTGTATATAAAGTTGTGTCAGTGATGGATTAACTAACTAAATAGTAATAAAAACAAATGAGCATGAAATCTATAGTTGTTCCCTTCTTATACTTGAACTTTATGTGAATAAAAACCAAACTGTCTTTATAAATGTTTTCCAATTAAGATATATGAGCCAGAAACGATGGAAAAGGCAGAAGGATTCGTGCTACAGGTCAGTGGATAATGGATGATAGTTCTTGATCTATCATCCATTATCAATTGGTCTGTAAGGTTCTGGAGAAATCCTTATTTACGCTTGATCTGATCTGATCTTAAATGAATTCTGTCACCCCAGTCCAACCCGAACATAAACTTAGACTGAGGGAAAAAATGCAGACCGCAATGTGAGGATGACCTTGAGAGGAAAACCAAAACCCTCAGCTGTTCTCTGCCAACTTCATTTTATCCCTGATGAAAGGGCTTTTCTGAATCTTTCAACCAGCAGAGCACTGACAGGATTTCTGCAGTTTCAGACTTGGGTAATAAGAGGAAGCCGAGCTTAGGGGTACATTGTGTCCACACGAAGTGGCTGGGGCCCTTTGGAGGCTGTGACTTGATGACTTGATGTCTTGATGTAGACCAGTTTTTTCTGTGTTAAACTTAATGTGAAAGTGCTGACGGCTGGTCAGCTGAGCCAAATCTTTGTGTTGCAGAGATGTTGCTGATTCGTTCTAAGTCACACTGCTGAGAGACCGGTCTGACAAACTCATCTACTGGGTTGTACACGTAGGTCTGAATAAGTACTCTAAATCAGTTGAACACTTTTGAACAACTGATTTGAAAATGTTAAATCTGCACCAATACCAAGACTCAAGGTTTATACTGACCCCTAAAGGCTGAGTCTCAAGACTACAATTGAGATTTTCACCACCATACCAGTGATGCTAAACAGTGGGAGCTTTTATAGGAATAGCCAGTAGCCATAATGTTATTATACTTCTGTAATTCTCACTTAAACTCCATGAGACAACCTTTTGTCCTCCGTCATTATATTTATTAGCTCTAAAAAAATATCCGGCCAGGACATTTAAGATGCATAGTGTG